CTATCTGTCACTTCCTGAGATCAGTCAACATCCACGTTGCAGGAACACAGATACGTTTGTCGGTATTTGACATGGATACAAGGCGCCCGATATCTCATGCCATGAAGAAGATGATTCACGACACAGCTATATTTCAAAAGACAACTATATCCAACAATTGTTTTACTAGTATTTCATTTCATGCATGGAACAAGAGATGATATACCTTAATTGGCTGAATTGTAGACATTTTGAAAGTTTCATAGACATTCTCAAAGTTCATGTGTCTAGAAATAGAAAAGAAGGTCAAGCCTCTAAATTGATGCAATCAATGGTTAATAAACAAGAAGATGAATCCAAAATAATCTGCTTCCGTTCATGTGTCAATACGTGTCCATCACAAGTATGGCACCCAAACAAAAGAATCCATGTAAAATAGGTCAAGTGGTCAACATAAGTCGGACTAATCAGACACACCACGGCAAAAAGCAAATCTGATCATCCACAAAAGAATGCTAGTTTCCTCTAGTATGGGCATGCTTTAAGGATGACTATACACAAGTAGATATTATTTTATAAACGTCAGATTTGGAATGAATGGACCGTACTCAATACTCCATTTTCAATTGAAGCAACGATGACGTGAGCATCTTTCGAGAATATAGTGCACACGTGTATTGTATATTTCCTAATAGTGCTAAGATGTACCTCTAGAGCTTATTTTCTATGAAACCTGTTTAAAATCTCTTTCATATCATGTGCTATCTTTTGCCACAGCCATTCAAACCTCCTCTCCCATCATTTTTTTATCAAAAACTCTTTCATAGTATGTGTTCTATTATGCCACAGCCATTCAAACCTTCTCTCCCATCATATTCTTATCTGTTTCAAATAGTGTTACTGTAAATTATATTGATAGAAATTCATTGTTGTTGACATCAAGTTCAATATTGAAAAAACTACTATGAGTCTGTTGTGTTTATTCTTCATGATTCTTGTTCAGTTTAAGACCCATTGAATGGAAGTTGAATAAAAGACTTCACCGCGCTGACATACTTTCTTGTCAACACAACTGCTTATAAACTTTCTAAAAGATCACTGCAACTCTAATTTGGTATACTTCAGTTATTTGGACCAAGAAACTTCCTGCATTAAAACTTAAACATTCGTGTCCAGACCAACACGGGGTTGTAGTAGTAGCCGTGGTAATAGTAAGAGAAAGCAAAGATGCCACAGTAGTAGTCATTGTGTTCAAACAGACATAGGAGACTACTAGTAGTAGTAGTAGCAGTAGCAGTAGCAGCAGCATAAATGGCATTGTAAAAGACATACCCAGTAGCAGTAGAAGTAGTTATTCATGTGCAAAAAAAACCGGTAACAGTAGTAATAGGAAAATAGAACTGTAGAAGTAGTAGTAGTAGTAGTGTGATGATGACGACGATGATAATGGTGACACAACATCAATTGCAGAAGAAAAAAGCAATGGATCTAGGACATCCCAACAAATGTTAGATGATCATGATATGATATAAACACAATATATTCAGAAGTAAACGAACCAATAGTCCACTGTCAAAGCTGAAATCAGGAACACCAATTCCACTGAAGAAATTATTCGCCTCTTTGATAATGTGGGGCTGGTCCAATCTCCACTCATGAGCGCACCCTGAACACCTGAAAACTCCAGACAAAACAAACAATTATTAAATAGAAATATAAACTCAAAAACCTAGCTTTCAGATTTCAAAGTAAACGAAAACGTGAGTAGACATACTGAAAATTGAAGATAGATAGATAAATGAGAGAGAGAGAGAGAGATGGGGTAAATGAGATAAATCAACCGGTAGAGAGAGATACATTTCAAAGTGCTGGCACTGTAGAGCGGTGGATAGAGAAAGGCCTGGGTCTTGCTTGGTGAGACTGAGAGAGTCTTTGGATGACGTTGAGGTTATGGTTAGGGTTTTATCACGATTTGGTGTTAGGGTTTGGTTTGAGCGCAGAGAAGGAGAGGAAGGAACGCAGGCGAAGGTCAAAGCCATTGCCCACCTCTCAGCAGACCTCTCTCTCAGTTTAGATGGCGTCAAAGCGATAAGGGGGGCGCATCTTATTGCAACGGCCATACTATCTTTTGTCATTTCGGATTGGGAAAAGTTTATATAGAGCCGAGGCTCTAAACAATCAAATTAGAACCTACCTCAAAAAATCCACTAGGTTGTTTTGATTCCCAAGTACTCTCAAATCGATCATCTCGATGTCAAGATCCCAAGTACTCTCAAATCGATCATCTCGATGTCAAGATGCATTGACATGAGAAAAAAAAAAGGGATTCCAAGTTTTGAAAATAGTATATTTTGTAATATATTTTTTAACCGTCAATTTTTTAAGCCTAAATACACTATTTTTTAAGCTTTAAAGTTTATTTAAAAGTTTATTTTTTTATCTTTGAAGTTTATTTAAACATAAAAACATATTTTAACGCTATCACAAAGATTTCTAGTATTGAAACTATATTTTTCCACACTATTTGTAGGTAAGCTATTGTTTGGAGCCTACGATCTATACAAACCAAAGTTTATATAAGGATACAACCTTAACATGTAGAATTGCAGATGCACCCCAAAATTTGATCATAAAAGGTTGTTTTAATGTTGAAAAACCTTTAATTATTCATCTTGATATTGAGATGCATGAATATGAAAAAACAAAAATTGAGTCCCGTAAATAATGCATCTTGCAATACATTATCGAGAACATCCATTTTCAAGATTTTCATATGTTGATAGATCTAGTTGATTTAAACCATTTTTTTGAGTTTAAAATTTTCTAATTAGATATGAAAATAGATTTTAGATAATCCTAATAATTTTTATGTCAAAATTATATGTTATGATTAAATTTGGAGGTGCGCCTTAATTGGATTGTTTAAGGTTGCAAGCTTATAGAAACTGCGCCCCTTTTACCTTTTATTAGGTTAAAAGTAGGGGTGGCAACGGGTCAAATCTAGGTAAGACAGACCCGATTGGTTCCAACCCAAAATAGGGCAGTGATTTCATGCAATAGAAGTACAGTAATATAATACAACAACCTTAAAAAACCATGTTAGAGCCATTAGTTTGATCCAACTTTTAAAATATACACTCTTTTTATTTTAATGAACAATTACAAAAAATATAAATTTAAAAACGTAACTTAGAAAGCATTTTTTTAGCCAATTAATATAGGCCATCCATTTTGGTGAGATGCATAGATCTAGGCTTTAGAATGACTTTTTTTTTCCCCATAATTTTTAGATAATTTTATTATCATTAGATTAACATTATTAAAAAATAAAAAAGTGATTTTAAATTCATAAAGGCCTAGATATTGACAAATACAAATGGCCTCGTGGTATACAATCCCATTAAAAATATATTTAGAAACTTGTCCAATTTTTTGAACTTTATATTAAGGAAAAGTTTATATAAGGTTACAATCTTAAAATGCATAATTAAATATACACCTCAAAAATCATATGAAAAAGTTGTTTTAATGTTGAGAAACCCTCTAATTGATCATCTCGACATCGATATGTATGAATATGAAAAAAATGAAGAATTAGAGTCGTAGAAATAGTGCATCTTGCAACACATTATCTAGACCGTCAATTTTTTAGATTTTCATATGTTTATAAATCTACTTGATTTTAACTATTTTTGAAGTTTAAAATTTTATAATTAGATATGAAAATAGATTTTAAAATAATCTTAACAATTTTTTACCCCAAAATTACATGTTATGATAAATTTGGAGGTGCATCTTAATTAGATTGTTTAAGGTTGAAACCTTGTAGAAACCACACCTTTAAATTAATACCCCTTTTGGCATCTATTTCTATATAGGGTATGGTTTGCATGGGGTCACAACAAAAATAAGCATCCAAACAGTGTCATGAGATGCAATTTTAATGTCGCAAATTGTTAACATGCTTGATAAATTATTTTTTATCTCTAATTATAGAGTTTTGAACTTCAAAAATAGTTCAAACCAATACATCTATAAACGCGAACATCGTGAAAATGGACAGTCCAGATAATATGTTGCAAGATGTACCATTTTTAAGACTTTAAATCCTATTTTTTCCCCTATTTCCACACACATCCTGGCCCAAGATGATCAATTAGATGGTTTTCCAACATCAAAACAATGTTTTTTGATGAATTTTTTATGTTCAACTTCATACTACAATTTACGATGTCAACCTTATATAAACTCTTTCCGTTTGTCCAACAATACCATTTAGTTTGGTACTAGTTCCAAAAATAGCATTTCGTACTGATATATTTTTGTGCCTTTAATTAAATTTGGTGCAGGCCTTTCTTTGGTTGGTTTCTCTTCATCGCACTTTTGACAGTGAATAATCTAAGGAGAAGAATAGCACCACAGTTAATGATTGCATGTTGTACATGAATAAGGATGAAACTAGATACCACCTATTTCTTAAGGGATTGTATACAATGAGACCGTTTATCTTTGATACAAGATGATCGCAACTTCTTACAACTATTTGATGGCAATTTGATAACTTGGATGTGTCACAAAGTTCAAGAAAAATTCATTTGAAGTTTGAATTTGGTCAATGAAATAATTACAGCCGCCCAATTTCACATCCAACGGTCAAAATTAATCTGATCACCTTGTATCGAAGGCAAAATGGTCTCATTTTATACTTTCCCCTGTTAGAGTTTTTGATATGTTGGGTTCCCAATTTGCTCTTTCGAGATCGGCTACATAGATTTTGGGTTATTTCAAGTTAATTAACCTTCTTACAATGAGGAGATGTATTTGGATAATTTTTCAGGCCACTATTATTTGGGAGCTTTTGAGTAGAATGTTCATTTGCACAGTCGGGTAAAACTTGATCTGGAAATAATTTTAAGATCTCAAATTTTAAGGAGGTGACCACTTCAACTCACACATTAACGTCAATAAATATAAATAAATAAATAAATAATCTAATTGTACCCTTTACGCACTTGAAAAAAACCTCTCACGATTGAATAGTTGGGAAAAGGTGGTGATAATGATACACTTGAAAAAAAACTATCTTGAGATTGAATAGAGACTATTCGTTTTAGAAGGTAACATCCAAGTGTCATGTACCTTAAAAGTTTAATTTTTTTTAGAATAATCATCTATTAATTGTTAAGTAGCTTTAAAATTTGAAAAATTTATATATTAAGGTTGAGGCTCTAGACAGTCGACTTAAGGCGCACTCATATTAATAAAAGTTGTTTCAATGCTGAAAAACCTTCAAATCCGATCATCTCGACCTTGAGATACATGGACATAAAAAATATGGACTCCAAGTCTTGAAAATAGGGCATCATGTAATGCATTATTTAGACTGTTAATTTTCAAGATTTCCAAGTGTTCATGGATCTGCTTGATCTACATTATTTATATATTTCTCTTATGTTTAGTACTGAGAGCACCAAACTATCTCCTTCTTTTATATTCGGTATATTTTTTGTCAAAATCAATTTCATCATAGTGCATATCTAAGATTACCAAACTAAATGATATTTTTTTTTAAAAAGAAAAAGATGGAAAAAATAAAGGAAATCAATGTAAAATTCAAATTTTCTAGGACATTTTCTAAATACCCCAAAATAGTGGATATTCATGTTAAGTTCCTTAAAAAGGAAAGAAAAATCTTATTTGTTTCCATATTTTGAGCTCATGTTTTTGTTTTTCCAAAATATTACCATTTGGGTCTCCAAATTTCAAACCCGTGTCTTTTTGTCTATGATATGTCGATACAAAACTTAAAAGTTAAAACCATTTGAGAAGTGGTTTTGGAACGTGAAGCTTGCTAGCTAAAAAACAAATTGAAAATATAATATTATTCCCTACTTCTAACTTCTACATCTAATTAGACCAAAAAATTGAAAATATTACTTATAAGCAAAAAGACTCGATCCTTTTTATCTTCCAAACCACTAAACCCTTTTGACCATGTTTTGGTGACCTCAACAACTTATTAGTTGACTATATCTCTCTCTCTTTAAACTCCATCTCTCTCCCATATCATCATTTCTCTCTAAAACCCAAACTCCATATCTCACACTCACATCATCATCTCTCTCTCTCTAAACTCCATCTCTCACACTCACATCATTGTCTCTCTCTCTAAACTCCATCTCTCACACTCACATCATCATCTATCTCTCTCTAAACTCCATCTCTCACACTTACATCATCATCTCTCTCTCTCTAAACTCCATCTCTCTCCCTAAAACTCAAACTCCATCTTTCGATCTCTTTAAAACTGAAACTCTATCTCTCTCTCACACATAAGAAGGTGGCTCGTGTTCGAGCTCAAGCTAAACCTCTTGGCTGGTAAACTTATCGAGAAACGAAGAGAGAGAGAGATGGAGTTTGAATATGGCGTCATTTTAGTGTTTGTTTGGATCAAAAATTTACGTCAAAGGCGTCCAGGAGGTTGTAAGATAAAAAAGATGGTGACCTTTTGCTTACAAGTAATATTTTCAATTCTTAGGTCTTATAAGATATGGAAATTAAAAATAAGGGATAAGGAGATATTTTCCCAAAAATAAACAAGTGTCCTTGGTTCCGAAATTGAAGTTCCGAATCGACAATGCTTGTGCCCCTTATGAGTGAATAAGTAGGTTCAAACCGGTCTTCGACTTAGTTTGAAACTTCAAGTTCCAAGAGTTTTGGATGGGGTCAATCGTCTACTCGGCAACTTTCGAATTGCTTAATTTTCAAAAAAGTCTGTTTTGGAACTTGAAGTTTCAAACCATTACTTCACATATATTAGGGTGCGGTTTGTATAATATAAGTAGAGTAAAGTGCACCTTTAAATAATGTCAATAAATGTGGTTTCAATACTGGAAATCTTTTTGATAGTTTTAAATTTTATTTTCATCTCTAATTATAGCATTGAAAGCTTACAAAATAGTGTAGATCGAGCAGATCTATGAAAACTTAAAAATCATTAAATTGATAGTCAAAAAATGTATTACAAGATGCAGTTTGTGTATTTGTCTATGTCAAAAGCACTGGTTTGTACAAGGCACTAGAGAGGGGAAGAGGGCTTGACGCTAGAAGACAGCTAAAGAGGGCAAAGCACTATTTCCAAAACTTAAAATCCATCTTGTTCTCATGTCCATGTATCTTGAGGTCGAGATGATCAATTTGAAAGATTTTTGAACGTCATAACAACTTCTTATAGTGAAATTTTTGAGGCGCACCTTTAGTTGAATGTTTAGAGCCCCACACTTATATAAACGATTTCCTATTAGTTTTCTTGCTCTCATACTCAATGAAACGCATATGAATTATTGGAGATATTTTCATATTATTTCGCTGCCCATTTCGTTTACCTAGAAGATACTCATGAGAAGGGGAGGTAACACATTTTATGAGAACTTTTTTTTAAAAAATAAAAATAAAAATTTATTAGCTTGAAGGTCTCAATTTCAAATGATTTTGCTTCAACTGGTAACACATATTTTTATCAAGGACCCGCGACCAAGCCTACATATGTAGAAATGCGGGCCTATTAATAAATCTATTTTTGAGATGGATTTTTGGACTTAATTTTGAAGGGCATGTAATCTCTAACATGGAGATCATGAATATAAAAGAATAAGTAACTTTAAAAAACTAAAAATAGCAATTGTAGTAAAAGACATTTGGGCCTTTAGTTTACATTATTTTTAGATGGAATGCTTTACATTTTTTGGACGTATGTAGTCATGTGGTCCAGCCCACATGAAACAATTTTCCTTTTATCAATGGGTGAGAGGTTCCTACGAGGCGCCGACCTTATACTCTTCAAGTAAGGTGCACCTCAAAATTTTTACTTGGAGATGCAATTCTGTATCAAAACTTTATGAAGGTGTGAAAATCCTTATTCACCCCTAGTTATGGAATTTAGTTTGAGAAACAATACAAATAAAAAAAATCTACAAATACTTAAAAATCTTGAAAATAGATAATCAAAATAACTTGTTACAAAATGTACTATTTTTATAACCTATAATTCTTTTTTTTTTCTTTATAGCTATATATTTTGTAATCGAGATTTTGAAATCGAGATAATCATCTGAAGGTTTTATAACTATCTAACATTCTTTCTACTAGATTTTTGAGGTACACCATACTCCAAGAGTATTAGGTAGTAGCTTTGTATAAACTTTTTATTTTCTCAAATGCACAAATGTGCTGCAGTTTCTATATGGCACAGGCTCTACCAAAAAAAGTAAACGTTCATTTTGAAATCTTGTTTAAAACGCACTTCGAGTATGGGAAATCGTTATGATGGTTCTAAATCTATGTTTACCACCGGTTACTCGTTATGATGGTTCTAAATCTATGTTCACCACCTGTTACAAAGTTTGTAGCTCAAAAAATTGTATAGATCTTGATATCCATGTACACTTGAAAATGGATTGTTTAGATAATGTTTTACAATATACAATATTTATAGGGGTTTAAATCTGAATTTTTTTCATAACTACACGGTCAAGATCAAGTTGAAAGTTTTTCAATGGCTAAATTGTAATTTCTAGTGAGTTTTGAGATGAGGCTTCACTTTTTCCCATAAGGCCTAGGTCTTACTTTACCATTTTCCAATGCCTATTTTCAGAAGGGAAAAGTTTATATAGAGCCAAGGCTCTAAACAATCAAATTTGAGCATATCTCAAAAATTTCACTAAAAGAGGTTGTTTTGATATTCAAATATCTTCAAATTAATCATCTTGATATCAAGAAGCATGGACATGAGAAAAAAATTGCTTTCAAGTTTTGAAATTAACATATTTTGTAATGTATTTTTGGATGGTCAATTTTCAATATTTTCAAGTTTTCATAGATCCGTCATTATTTTTTAAGCTTCAAACTTTATAAATAAATATAAAAAGATATTTTAAGACTTTCACAGAGATTTCCAAACCAGACTTCCCAATACTAATACTATTTAAAGGAAGGCTCTAATTTGATTGTTTAGAGCGTAGGCTCTATACAAACCGCACCCTTTTCAGAATTGCCCATGAAGGCCGGTAGAACGACGCCTTAAATTTCAGTGAGAGGAACGGTCACCAGGGAGTCACCATTTCCCCCCCTCTTCTCCCTGCAAATTCAGAGTTAAAAAACCATAGTAACAATGGCGGATCTCATCCTTCAATCGCCTGTGAACCCTAGATCAACCTCCGATCTTTTCGGTGACCCTCACGATTCTCAACCCCTCTGGTTCAAAAAGGAGGTCTTCTCTCAACAGGACTTCGATCCAGATGCCTATGTAGCTGATCTCCGACGCTTTGTTCCCCTCGAAAGCCTCAGAGCAGAGCTCAGAGCTCATCTCTCTACCCTAAAATCTGAGCTTGTTGAGCTAATTAACAGGGATTATGCAGATTTTGTGAGCCTCAGCACTAAGCTTGTCGATGTGGATGGTGCGGTTCTGAGGATGAGGGCTCCATTGAATGAGCTCAGGGCTCGAATTTCTCAGTTTAGGGCGAGCGTTGAGGCTTCTTTCACTTCCCTGAGGGATGGGTTGCAGAAGAGGGCTGATGCTGCAGCTTCGAGGGAGGTTCTCGAACGCCTTCTTGATACATCTCATGTTGTCTCCAAGGTGGGTTTTATGGTTGCTTCTTTGATCTCTGTTTCTTTGTTATTGTCATAATTTTTCGGATTTGGTGTGAGATAACTGAGATCTGAATTGAACATGAGTTGTGCTTGGATAGTAAATGGGTGTTCATGGATGAATTATTTTGATTGGTTGTTGGATGGACGTGATTTAATAGTGTTTTAGCGGATACTTTCTAATGTTATGCATAGGTGATAGTTTTCTTGGCCTTAGTTTGCTTTTGATTTTTTGTCAAATTTTCCAGGCATTTTGGTGCTGTATTTTTTTTTTCTTTTTAATTGAGTGGCATCAGTATAGATTTGGATCAAGTTGCATCAATATACATCTGAACAAATTGGAATGGGAAAGTTCATTGGGAAATATGTCTACTAATAGAAAAAGGCCTTTCACTTGGGTGATTTAAATGAACTGGAGGATAGGAGGCAATGAATTGGAAGAGATTGTCCAAGTGTGATATAATCCAAATCAGAGGCCAATTTGATCTGTAACAGTAACATAATTTTGAGTGGATTGATGAATTGATGGATCCTTTGGCTTTTTATCTTACTTGAAGTTAGTTAGAGACGGGGCACAATAATGGTAATTTTTTGAAGTTAACACATTTGTTTGATAAATGGGTATTCATTTTGCAGGTTGAGAAACTAATTTTGGAGTTGCCAAGTACTCCAGCAGACTGGTCGAATCCTGACATAGCTCCAACTAACAAGAGTTTATTTAGCAATGATGCATCTTTACAACCTGTTGAGCATGGGGCAAACCTGAGAGAGACTCAAAGTATGCTTTTGGAGAGAATTGCTAGTGAGATGAACCGGCTAAAGTTTTACATGGCTCATGCTGAGGTATGTTTTTCTTATTCCCCTTAAAATTTGGTTGTTATAAATGTTCTAAGTTGTTGATCTTGTTAAGTAAGTCTATTTGATTCACGAGACAACACCTAGGGCTATTTTTTTCCTTTCTTGCTTCATTGCCCTCTTCAAGTGGTTCTCTAAATTTAATTGTTGCTTTTGATAAAAAATACGCGATTGTTGCTTGACTCAGAGTTTCTCTGCATAATAATAGTTAGTAGTAGTGGTGGTAGTAGTAGTCATAATACTTATAATAAGGGAAATTTATGAAAGTAGATTGTTGCTTGACTAAGAGTTTCTCTGCATAATAATAGTTAGTAGTAGTGGTGGTGGTAGTAGTCATAATACTTATAATAAGGGAAATTTATCAAAGTAGCCACTAGAGATGAATTGTTCAACATTTTATCCATTTGCAACTATTCAACTCACAATCATGTTTTTCTTATAGGTATTGTGAAATTAAATTAAAAACTATGGGTAGAATGTCCAACAGTTCATCTCTTATGGGTATCTAGATAAATTTCCCATTGATGATGATGATGATGATGGTAATAGTAACACTACTACTAATAATAATGGCGCTGGAGGCTCGCAACCCAATCGAGCCATCTTTGGACGGAGGTCATACGACACAAATATTGTTCTGGGAATAGCCATTGGACTCCAGAATGCAAAACTAGTGACCAGATCTTGGGTTTTTGGAGGTCCGTTCTTTGGACTAGAGAGACGTTCCTCAGCCGCATTCATTTTCACCGTATGGAGGGGACACGGGTGAAATTTTGGACTAATATCTGGATCGGCCATACCCCCCTTAGATATCAATTTTCCAATCTTTTCCTTTTAGCCCAGGAGAGCCAGTCCTCAGTCGCTAATAACTTCAGTATAACTGGAACCCTCAGAACTTGGAGGCCTATGTTCAAGAGACCCATCTTCGATCACGAGTTCAAAAACCTTTCTTCTTTGGCTGCAAGCCTACACTCCGTCTTCCTTCCTTCCTCGAGGGAGGACAAAATTATTTGGACCCCCTCGGTTACATGTATTTTCTCAGTGGCTTATTTTTTCAGCACAATCACTGCCCCTCCCAACCCTCAAGCCCACCTCCTGCCTTAGCTTCCGAGGCTTGGAACCCTTCTATTCCTTCAAGAGTACAGGTGTTCTCTTGGATTGCATTGCACGAAAGATTGTTGACGGTGGATCAACTACAAAGAAGAGGGGTGCAACTCCCAAACAGATGCAACTTTGTTTGATGGAGGAGGATTCCAACTTTCACCTTCTTCTCCATTGTGCACTCTCTAGAGCAGTTTGGAGGTCCAAGCTAAGCTTGTTTGATTGGGTATGGGTAACCCCTTCCAACATCCCTCAGTTGTTTCAAGCGTCTCTCTTTACTCTTTGGCTCAAGGCTGGAAGGCTTCTTTGGAAAGCTGCGATCTCAGCTACCGTTTGGGTGTTGTGGGCCGAGAGAAATAATAGAATCTTTTGGGGTGCAAGGTCTTCGACCAACCAGATGGTAGAGAAAATTAGGAACCTAGTAACTTTTTGGGCCTCCAACCACACTCTTTTCAAGTTCTCTTTCTCCACTGACGGCTATAACAATTGGTCCAACCTTTTATTCTTATCTGACCTCAGAACCTTGAGGGCCTCATGGTGGAAACCACCTGAAGTGGGAGCGGTGATACTTAACTTGGACGGTTGCTCCTAGCCAACCCTGGTCCCTCAGGTATTGGGGGGCTCTATCGCTCTTGTGATGGCAGCACCTTGCTGTCCCTTTCGCTACCTATCTGCTTTGTAGACTCCACTCTTGCTAAGGCTCTGGCCCTTCTGGAGGGCCTTTACAAGTTAGACCACACCTAGAGTCACAACGTCGTGGTGGACGGGGACACCAAAAGCATTATTCGCTGGGCATCCAACCGCTCATCTTGGCCTTGTGATGCATTATAAAATTTACCGGCAAACACCACCGATAAAAATAACCGTGTCTTAGAGAAAAGTAAAAATCAAGAAGGAAATCATAAGAAGAAAGAACAAAACGTACTGATACGAGTATTCCGGCGTGGGCCCATAAGCAAAGGAGAAGAAATAACACCCACAAAGGGTTCTCTCTCTCACTCTACACAATCTCAAAGATCACTTTTTTTCATTCATAAAATTGAATTCTCCCTGTTTACAATGGACGTTCCAGCTTTTATAACCCTATTGCCTTCAATCCGTCTCAATTCTTTTCCTTCCCATGAGATACATTCAAGTCCACGTGCCTGTCCACAAGATAGGCACCACCTCTTCAAGTTTAAAAGATAAATGGTAACTACCCTAATAAAAGCAACTAAAGATAATAACTGTTTATAGGAGACGGACGCACTTTCTATCTCAACTAAATATAATAATTACCCATAGGAAACGACTTTCTAAAAAAACCTAACTCTTTCTAAAAAGATTTATTCTAACTTTCCTAATTAAATCCCCATGTAGAAAATACAAACACTTTCCTAAATTATAATTTTATAAAAAAAAATCCCTACTTTTCTTATTTCTAAAAATTGATCCTAATAAAATAAAAATAAAAATTCTACCCAATCTCTAAAAATAAAATTAACTCAACCTCGAGTTTTAAAATGTGCTAAAATCAACTTTGTATTAGTGCCACGTTTTCAACCTGAATTTTGGAAACATGATATTGCGACTTGTGGGTTATTGCACTAATCTAAACATGTACTGAAATCGATAAGCCCTTGAGGATGGGTCATCGTATATGTTGTAGGGTATTTTTGACACGGTTGTATCCCTGGTACGAATAATGAAGAAGCCGGTGGTGACTTAAACCCGCAGGCACCAAAATGCCTGTGGATTGCAGAAACCCTGATTAGAGGAAGCCTAATTTTGAAAGGATTTGACAAAGGTGTCAGATTGACCTCAAAAAGCATAAAAGGGTGGTATACGATGTTTTAAGAGTGCCCACCAAATTTCATCCCAATCCAATCAAGATAAAGCAGATCAGAGTGAAATTTACATTTTGTAGAACCACTTTCTATCATGTTGAAAGGTACCTCATAACTGGAGCTATACTGTCAATGTCTCAGATGAGCATCAGACCACCGCCATTGGATCCAGAAGGCCCAAAAACCCCCAGATACCAATTTTCAGCTTGTTTGACACTTTTGGACCATCTTAGGGCAACTTACCCAAAATGGGTGGGTTTTACACTATTCATATGATGCTTCAATGAATCAGTTTCCATTTTTGGAAACTGCTATTTTCAATTTCGTGATTGACTTCTAAAGCTCATAACTCACTTATTCGGAGGCCAATCGAGCCCAAATTTGGACACGTGGTAGATCTCATCGAGCGCACGTTTTGATATAAGATATGTCTCGAGTCGATACCCAGATTGAGAGAAATCGTAGAGAGAAGTTGCATTTCGAAACTCATGCTTTGCAATATTTTTAAAGAGCGATATCCACCCATTTGAAGCGTCATATCTCGAAGTTCCGGCATCCCGATAACTTCAAGAATGGGTCCGTTGCAATCGTCGTACAAAGATCTTCAACTTGAGGTAAATTTTGCACATAATTGAGGACCAGAAAACACCCAATTTGAGTCCGAAAGAAGGTGGTACTTTTTTTGGTGGCCGGAATCCCATTTTCTGGTCATCTCCCCAATTTAGAAAGTGATCATTTGGCATCCAAAATGACGGATTTTTATTGTAAAATGATCGCAATAACTTTCCCTTCGATTTGTTATAAAGAAAATGGCTAGAAACAACAAGAAATGTGTATGGGTATAAACTGGCCCGCACATTGGGCGATAAAATTTGCAGTGCCTGGTTCTTGGGCTTCAATCTTACTGCCAGGGTAAGGGGATCTCCCCATTGAGCTATCAGGAAAAAAAGAAAAAAAAATAAAAGAAAAAAATATTATGGCGACTCCATTGGGGATATGGAAAAAATATTATGGCGACTCCATTGGGGATATGGCTTTATGGAGAGGTGATTGCATGCTTTGAAGTCACACAGTAGAAACTGTGGTACACCTCAATTGGGGAGAGTACTTTACGGTGTTGAGTTTAGAGTGATGGTGCTCTGTCACTGCGGATTTTGGAGCAATGGTCCTCCTTCACTGAGGATGTTATGAAGAGGGACATGATAGGGGCTATATGTGGCAAGGTGTCATGCTGCAACCCCATGGGGATATGTAAGAACAGGAAGCAGTTTATAGTCATGCAAACGATTTGTATGTCGCACAGTTTAATGTCATGCTACAGGGACGTAAGACCATGACACTTTTACCCGTAATGACCTGTAGGATAGGATCAACACGTCCATCATTTGAGAGTGAGTGCCCAGAAGGGTTTTCACCACATTCCATTTATTTTGGCACTTTTGCCTTTAGCGCCCTTACATGTTTTCACTATGGCCGTCTTTTCTCTTTTCTTTTCGACATATTTTACCCATGGTGGCTTTTGGGGTGCACACCATGTCCCTCATTTCTCTCTTTTTTCTTTTTTCCCGATAGCTCAGTGGGGAGATCCCCTTACCCTGGCGATAGGATTGGAGCTTGCGATCCAAGCGCTGCGAATTTTATCGCCCAACGCGCTGGTCGATTTATACCTAGGCTCGTTTCATGTTGTTTCCGACCATTTTCTCTATCACAAAATCGAAGGAAAGGTTATTGCGATTATTTTACAATAAAAATCCCTTGATTTGGATCAAATGATCACTTTCCAAATTAGGGAGGTGGCAAGAAAATGGGATTCTGGCCACCGAAAAAAGTGCCTTCTTTCCGACTCAAATCGGGTGCCTTCCTGACCTTGATCATGTGCAAACTTTACCTCAAGTCGAAGCTCTTCGTACCACAGTCGCAACGGTCCCATATTTGAAGTCATCCGATGCCAAAACTTTGAGATATGCCCCTTCGAATGCGTGGGTGTTTCTCTTTAAAAATCTTGCAAAGCATGAGTTTCGAAATGCAACTTCTCTCCACAATTTCTCTCAATTAGGGTAT